CAGGGCAGCCATGGTGCTGGCTGCTGATGTATGACCACCTATATGCAACTCTTGCAGTTGCAACAGGTGATTCCAAGGAACAGGAACATATTTCCACCACATCAGTCGTGAAATCTTGGGTATTCTAGATTCGCAACACTAATTCAAGAAACGCGATCATTCTTCAACGCAACACTAATAATAAAAGCAATAAAAAAAACCGCGGTTCCATTAAAGCGCAACACTAATTCTTAAAATAAACCATTAAAAGATAAAATATGTATATGCAGAAAAAGATATTTCGTTTTTTTGACTATTCGCGATTAATACTAGTCGCAACGCTATAAAGTTAATACATATTAGTATCTATGGAAAAATAAAAATTCATGTAAAAGAAATCAGACAAAGTCGCGATCTCATAATTCGCAACACTAAATCAACCGGTGATTATTTACTCGCAACACTAATTACAAAAATCGCGATTTGCCCAAACAGGATGATGGACCGATGAACATCGGCCAGTAAACATACTACTACTACAACTACATACTACTAAATAAGAGCATAGTGACAAAGTAGTGACAAGAATGACTTCTCATCCCAAGGATAGGAAGCCATTCCTAGGCACCCTTTTCGTGACAGTTTGTCGGGTACCTAATAGCCTCTTCTTCTTTCTTCGGGCGCCATGCCCGCTGAAACTTATATCTAGGCTCGAGATTCTCTAATCGGAAAAAAAAAAGAAAAAAAATACAAACCGCGAAGCTAAACAAGACTCACATGGACGAGCAACGATCGGAGTGATCGTTGTTCGTGCACACGTGCAGAATCTCGAGCACATACACGTTCGATCACGACCGCGACCGCGACGAAAATTTGAAAAAATCGATAGGCAAAGCTAGTGACGAATGGCAACCCCCAAACGTGCCAGCTTCACCGTCGACTATTCAAATGACATTTCCTGAAACAGGTTGTGCACGCGAAACGCGCCTGCCCGACCTGAGACTGTGCCAACCTGCCCGGCCCTACCTACTTATAGTTAGCAGGCACACCAGAGTATACTACCTACCTAACTCCTCCTATATTTAAAAAATGGCAATAATCAAGCATTCCAATACACCACACTCCACGGTTCTCACACATGCCACCCAGGCGCAAAGATCCTACACTACAGTAAGCGTCCCGGGACGCCCCCGACACCCGAGTTTGGCTACATACACACTCTAACTTTACGTACCATTTCCTGAAATCGGCTGACGACGGCTAGAGACCCTTGCGTAACGCGTGATATTAATCATTTAGCAAATACGAATATGTTAAAGAGCATAATGTCGTTAAGACACGTGGTACGAGAAACAATAACATTATCGGAAATTGATAACAAGATTTTTACTTCCATCGCGTTTATGCTATCAATAATCTGCAGCAATTGACAGCAGATTATATTCTTCTATTCCAAATAAATGTACAAACGACGCAATTCCACATCCTAATCACAGACACACCATGTGGAAAATGCGTCGTGCACGATACTCTAACGCGTCGTCAGCCGCTAAGACATTGTTATAAGCTTATGAACTACGGTCATCATGCCCATCGCCATTCACCCACTCAAGTAGCACCTGAGCACGTGAATGAGTTCCTGGCAATGAACACGGAAGGGGTTAAACCTGAAAATCCTGAGCTAGAAGACTGATTAGTGTATACATATTTTATTTAACGGACTAACGTTCTTTCATCTTGTACTTTCTCATTCCATTTGCAATGACTTTACTTTACAAATTTAACGAATTATTCAAATTTCAGTATTGAAAGAAAATATTCATATCAATAAAAAAACTATTTATCAAAAAGAGGAAGACTAGGACTCCACGTGATGAAATAATTGACTTTAATTTATATAACAATGTAAATATAACAGAAACTCAGATGATTCTTTCACCAAAGTACATCATATTCGAAAGCACAAAGGTACAAAAGTTATTACTTTGGTTCCAAAATCTATCTGTCGCGAAATGTTTTCTTGCACTTAATGTTCAATGTATTTTAGCATTAACGGAATGGTACAGTGATACTATTATACTTTAAATTCGACTCAGATTTATTGCATACGAGTCAAAGAATTAAATATCTCAATATTATCAAAAGACAAAGAGTAGCATTGGCACTTGTTTATTAAAGGAACAATGAATAGCAATACATTATCATTGTTCCAATATATTAATTATAATTTTCATAATAACGAAGTCGAAGGGCATTCGACTTCTCCACTACAAAATAATCAAATATTCGTGTCTATTATTTACGAATAGCCGTACTAAACATATTTTGATTTGAAAAGTGGCTATATTAAGAAGGAGCTAATAGTCAATATTATATTATTTATGCCACTAATATTATATGTGCCAATGTACCCATACTAACTTCTCATATTCCTATTATTATTGATCAAAAACGCGAAGTGCAAGAAAACCTATCCTGAATTGATAAATAAAACACAAAAGAAATTTTGTCACTACTCTCGAGTATAATAAATACCCGAGGTCACTATGCTCATAAGAAATTCTACGTAATACAACCAGACATCCGTGTCGGTTCGGACCTTTCGTCCTACGACATGATTGAATGACCAGAGGAACCAAAATGCATGCGACTCACCAATGATGCAGAGAACGATGCTGTAGTGGCCCAGACGAAGTCATCGTGAAGACTGTCATCAGTTGGGGGCTGACTTGAACAGTAGCACAGTTGTCGGATCCAGGGGGAAATGAAGGCTGTAGAAAATCTGCAACAAAGCGTTCAATACTACTGTTATATCATCAGGTCACAAATATTTAAAGAGTTTAATTTCATACGATTGATTTAGATATATTCAATTACAATATACAAATGTACTTACATTCTTGAAATCTGTAGCAGAGATGAATAATGTCCAGGGAAGGACTGACTTCAATGCCATCAGGCTTGTCGGATCTACGGAAAAACATGTAACACGTTAAATAATAAAATTTATTCTTTAAAAAAAGAAACTGATTCAATTACAGTGTGCAAACATACTTACATACTTACGTTCTTGGATTGCAGAGCAGCCTTGGGTCCACTTCTCGGTACAGTTGACTCTAATACCGGTAACGAACATTAAAAAAAAAAAAAGAAAAATAAAAGATTATTAACGCGTCCGTTTAAACTTCAATCGGCGAACAAACACTGACTCTACATTCGCGTATGGCTATTATGGTTATATGTAGCAAATATGGTTATATGTATTGGGCTCTGAGGAAAAAGTTTCTACGTGAAAAAGCACTGACTCGAATGGTGGCATCGCGCGCGGCCACGAAAATTCCTGAAAGAAATGCATTAATGGGGAATGTGGAATGGCGTGGAGTTATTCTCCCTGTCGGACAAATGTTAAGAAAATACTGCTGTATTTATGATGTTGTAACCATCCATTATTTCTCTTGTTTATCATTCAAGTCGGATGTAAAACACGTATTTGAAATATGTAATACATTGTAACTATTATAAAGAATTTCTCTATCTCATTAAACATGTGAATGGAATATGGTAGAATTTGAAATATAACTGCGACATCAACCTGCGCAGTCGGACTGCGCATACCGACCACGCAGCCGGACTGCGCAGACGCACCGCGCATACCGACCGCGCATACTAACTGCGCATACGGATTGCACGATGATATGACGCAATAATTTCCGAACTTGCGTTTGAAAATTGAACGCAACTGTAATTTCGACTCTTTCGTAAAAATAATAAAAATTAGTGTTTAAGAACAAATTATGTTGATGATGTAAAATATTCGAAATCGAAATAATGTAATATGTGAATTATTTCGCTTTCGCAGTCAAATATAACAAGATCTAATGAATATTTTTCAAAACTTCAAATATAGTAATAATTATATATTATAAAATGATACATGAAACAAATTACCAATGATGCAATAAACAAAAGTACTTACATACATGTAATAAGTCTGGCTTCGATATAAGAAGTTCAACATTACCACATTTTAACGAAGACTTGGCAGATTTGAGGGCGAGCGAACATGGCGTCCGTACTTTGTTCTCCAACGCGTTCGTTAACGTCTGATACCTTCTACTCCGATCAACTGACATACTGTACACACAGAAATCATAATTTAGTACAAATAAGTAAAAAGAGTAGAAATGTAATTTTCACTCAATTATAGATGCGACACGACACGTACCAGAAATTGGATCGCACGTCCAGTTGCCGCGACGTTCAAAAGGAGAATGACCCCACCCTATCATGGCGTCGCCTAGCCGTCAGCCGATTGGTCGAGAGACTTAGCACTTCCCGCCATTTCCAAAGCCCGCGAGAGCACGTAGACTTGAACTTCATAGAAGATCTCATGGTAGACGAATCATGCGACTGTAGCGTATATACCGTGAAAACCAGGATAACACACTGCAAAATTTATATTCGGCGATTTAATTGTCGCAAATAATATTGTTTAACGAGTACATAATATAATTGGAGGGAATATTTCTTTTAGCACGAAATAAAATTATATTTTTGGGGGAAATCATACATATATATTACAGTTCTTTTGTACAACCATTTTTATTAACTATTGTTATTCACATATAACATTGACTTACTATAATTAAGTACTATTATTGACAAATCAAATAAAGCAAATTGTAAAAGTTACTCGAATCTTTTATTTAAATTGGGAAAAATCCAATGAATTAACTTCAAGTTATATGTAAATTATTAAGTCATCTTTGAAATGACTTATTTTGGCCATTTCATTACAACTAAGAAATGATTTGATACAAAATTCTCGGAACCCGAATATTTAATATAACAATTTAACTTTTTACCAGTTTTATCGAAAAGTTTCTAAAAAATTGTGGAACGATTTAATATTTTGTATCAAATATCAATAATGGCACATCAGAAATATAATGTAAATCTTTTACATTTATTGTATAATAATACATTATGCATTACCAGCTTTCAATGAAAAGCTGTAAAGTTGGCCATTTGTCTATATGCTGTTCATTCCTAGAACCTTTTACACTTTGAGGCCACTCCATTCATTAGAGATTAACCTGTGCAGAAGAAAACAAAAATTTTAGTGAAATTATCGAAGCTAAATTCAAATATGTTAACAGTAGGTAATAGGCGATCGTCAATTCTGTTACAAATAAGCAATATAATCCTAATACCGAAATACAGTAATATATTACAAGTAAGACCAAATGAAGAAATCGACAAGAAGTCTCACAATATTCCATAATATTTTACAACAACATCAAATATGAAATTAAACAATGTTCAACAATTACATTAAAGATTAACAATGTTCGAATAAAATGAAAGTACAAACGCACATTAAGTCTATCTTTGTAACATAATTAATGTTTGCCACTACCAAATTCCGACATAGATTCCACGACTTTGGTTACAAACCATCACGGTGTCTGCTGCTCGTCCTCCAATACGACGGTTGGTGCGTTCAATACGTTCTACGTAATTCTTGGAATCAACTAATAATCTGCAAAAACAAAAATCATAAATTCTGCATGAATGTGTAGAACTATCAGAAATTATATTAAAATAGGAGAATATTCGTACCCGAATTTCAATTTAAAAGGTAATATTTCTTTCGTAAAAGCTGTTGGTAAAGCCGGCGATCAAATTGTGAAATGGAATTCCGAAAAACTTGTAAATCTATTTGGTTTTACCAACATTGTGTTCAAAAAGACATTACATAAACAAATATTAATCGAATAAAGTTAACAATCGTATATAAATGATAAAAGGACAGGAACCTTTGATATTTATTTGTTTCCAACATTAGAAAAGAAAATGCTGTGATACGAATATTCTCAGAATAAAAGAAATGTGTTGAATAATCACCAGTTTTCGATAAACAGCAGTTACGTTGTCCATTTATCTTAATGACAGCTGTATCGTACGGTATTGTAGCCGTCAAACGTATTCGCACTATCAATGATTACTCTGCACACAAGAAATCAAAATCAAATGTATAAAAATATAATCAATCATATTAAAAGGCGACGAAGTTTCGTGTCAAATTTTGTTTTATGTGACTAATATAATCCTAATAGCGAAATACATTAATATTTTTTAAGAAGAATCTAAAAAATTATCTGATTTTGCAACGAGATTGCAAATGTTACTAATCGAACGAAACTATTGCTAGTATATGGAAACTAAAACGATAAAATTGGAAGTACTACGCAACAAGAAGACCTGATAATATACTTACGTGATATTACGTGATACGTCCAAACGATGCCACTTTCAATATTAGATTGAAATTTACAATATCACAGCATCGTCTAACTGTCAGCGCATTGGTCGAAAAAGCTAGCTGCCTCCTCCACTTTCAAAACCAGCGACAAGTCGAAGATTTGAACTTCATAAAACTTTCAGAGTTGACGCATCACATGTCTACGAATAGTATATGTAGTAAATCAGAATAACATAAGAGAAATTTATATTCGATAATTTAATATATGTAATGAAAATTGTGTTGTCGTTGAACAAGGCTAATAATACACAAATAGTATCAGGATAGTCGTCAAAGTATTGCGTAGCAGGTATGCAATACACATAACGATATGTCCTCTTACCATGATTTCCAGTGACACAATGCTACTCAGCACTGTGAGTTAACAAAACTGTTCCGAGCAATTATCGTCTGGGCGGTGCAGGGGGTAGGGGCCAGAGGGGCAGAGAATGCTTCTCGGTCAAGGACAAATTTCAAGCAGATTGATATTTTTATACGCAGTTTACAGTTTCGTTCGTTGAACTATAGAAGTCAGGCGATCATAAGAAACTTCCAATGGCTAGCATTTTGCTTGATTCAATATTTTGTAGCACGGGCAGAATCCTTTGATAAGCTTATTTTTTAGCGAAGTCCAGTATTCTGGAAAATATTATCACAGTCAAAGGTGATATATTTCAAACGTAAAAATGAACCACAGGAATAATTACTTACATATAATTCTTGGATTCGAAGAAATGAGATTGATCAGGTGACTGAAAAATAAATAAAAAAAATAGTCAGTAACAACATTTTAGATTCAGATCATATCGTGTTCTTCATTTGAATTTATTAATAAGTGTAGTATGTATTTATATTCCGTTGCAAAATATTAATACGGAAATCGTCTCTAACTACGTCCCCACGACATTTATCTGTCGCATAAAAATTAACAAACAATGAAATAAATTTCTCTTTGGATGCACGTTTGCAAAACGTTCAAATCTTAATTGCTGCGCAATAACGACGCAATACGATCCGACATACACTTCCATTTTCGGCACTGTATTTCGAAAAAAAGCGATGAAAATCGAAAAACAACCACTGATTCTATTAGAGAAGAGTGCGATCTATCGAGTGATAATGAAAAATCGAAATCAAAAATCGAAATTTAAAAATACTAAGCCACAAAAGATAACGACACAGTACGACGTGTCACACGTTTCCACTTTCGGCACTGTACTTCGAAAAAATAGCGGTGAAAATCGAGAAAAAACACTGATTCTATTAAAGAAGAGTAAGACCTATCGAGTGATAAAGAAAAATCGAAATCAAAAATCGAAATTTCTGAAAGCTAAGCCACGAAAAGTAACGACGCAGTACGACGTGTCACACGTTTCCACTTTCGGCACTGTATTTCGAAAAAAAGCGGCGAAAATCGAAAAAAAACCACTGATTCTATTAAAGACGAGTAAGATCTATCGAGTGATAAAGAAAAATTTAAATCAAAAATCGAAATTTCAAAAAGCTAAGCTACGAAAGATAACGACGCAGTACGACGTGTCACACGTTTCCACTTTCGGCACTGTATTTCGAAAAAAAAGCGGCGAAAATCGAAAAAAAACACTGATTCTATTAAAGAAGAATAAGATCTATCGAGTGATAAAGAAAAATCGAATTCAAAAATCGAAATTTCAGAAAGCTAAGCCACGAAAAGCAACGACGCAGTACGACGTGTCACACGTTTCCACTTTCGGCACTGTATTTCGAAAAAAAGCGGCGAAAATCGAAAAAAAACCACTGATTCTATTAAAGAAGAATAAGATCTATCGAGTGATAAAGAAAAATTTAAATCAAAAATCGAAATTTCAAAAAGCTAAGCCACGAAATATAACGACGCAGTACGACGTGTCACACGTTTCCACTTTCGGCACTGTATTTCGAAAAAAAAGCGGCGAAAATCGATAAAAGAAACACTGATTCTATTAGAGAAGAGTGAGATCTATCGAGTGATAAAAAAAATCTAAATCAAAAATTGCTAGTGTATGAAAAGTAAAACGATAAAAATAAAAGTACTATACAACGAGAAGTCATGATAATATACTTACGTGACATTACGTGATGCGTCCTAACGATGTTACTTTCAATATTACATTGAAATTTACAGTATCACAGCGTCGTCTAACTGTCAGCGGATTGGTCGAAAAAGTTAGCTGCCCCCTCCACTTTCAAAACCCGCGACAAGTCGAAGATTTGAACTTCGTAAAACTTTCAGAGTTGACGCATCACATGCCTGCGAATAGCATATGCAGTAAATCAGAATAACATACGGCGAAATTCATATTCGATAATTTAATTTAGGCAAAGAAAATTGTGTTATAGTTGAACAAACCTAATAATGTTGTACAAATACTATCAAAATAGCCGTCGAAGTATTCCATGGAGGCAAGGAATGCCTCACAGTCAAGGCCAAATTTCAAGCAGATTGATGTTTTTATGCACTGTTTACAGTTTCGTTCGTCGAACTGTAGAAGTCAGGGGATCATAAGGAACTTCCAATAGCTAGCATTTTGCTGGATTCAATATTCTGTAGCAGGGTCAGAATCGTTTAATGAGTATATTTCATAGCAAATTCCAGTACTCTAGAAAATATTATCACAGTCAAAAATCGTATATTTAAAACGTGAAAATGTATCACTGGAATATACACTTACATATATTTGTTCGATTTGAAGAAATGAAATTTATTGTAGTGATTGAAAAATAACTCAGATCAATAGCGATATTTTAGATTCAGATAATATAAAATCTTGATGTGAATGTATCATTAGGTGTTAATGTAAATACATATATATCGATTTCCGCTGTAAAATATTAATGCGGTAATCGGCCCTAACCACGTCCCAACCTCCCTTCCTTTCATATAAAAATTAACAAACAAATAAATTTCTCTTTTGATACACGTTTGCAAAACGTTCAATTTTTGATCGCTGTGTAAATCAAACATCAAAAGAATTTAATCAAAAAACCGACGCGGAAGACTAAACCTAGAAGTAAAAGATAAATTAAACACAGAAATAAAAGATAAATTAAACATGGAAATAAAAGATAAATAAAACCTGGAAATAGAAAACAAATTAAACAGAGAAGAAAGAGATAAATTATGTGAGATAATATTATCCTACAATTTCTCAATATGACAGAGTTTCATTTCCATAAAAAATATACCAATCAATAACTAGGAAACTAAAAGAAAACAGGTGATGTTTCGTTCAAACAACAGCACGTCACATGCATATTAGCCTGAAAATGTAGAATAGTTCACAATTAAATAATTTAAAAAAGCAAAGAAGAATGAAATATCTCCCAAAACATTAAATATATTCTACTTACTAATACTACCTACTTCATGCAACACTTCATGCAACCCAATACCACTTAATACTACTTAATATTACTTAAAACTAAAAATTTTATTTAACTAAAAGACTAATGTGCCAGCACTGATCTTACAACTAGTAACTTATAACTAGCTTTATCATAATCCGAACTTAACATGAAGACGTATAACCATAAATTATCATTAAATTCAGAATAGCCTATCTATTTGTAAATCCAATTCACCTTCCATTCGATATCCAAAGGAAAAAACAAACCCAAACAACCAAAATAATCCAAAGATAACTACACGGTGACTTCCAGCGTTCAATGATCCAAAGAACCTAAAAGAAAAATAATCAGCCCTACTTACATCGAAATTAAAGATATTCTATAATCTAAACATAGGGAGATCAAGGATATTTTTAACACTATCCTATCAAAAATCAGATGAATTTTTATAAAAGCTCTACCTATCAAAAATCTAGAGGGTTTTCACAGAACTTTCCCATCACAAATTAAAAGAGAATTTCAAACATCCTGTATGCACAAGAAACCAAGGATTTGATCATGAAAATCCGAAGACTAAACAGACACTGTGTGGGTGTTGAAACCACTCACTGTTTCCGTTGGCACCATAACGTTTCCCAAACACCATACACTGTAAAAAAAATAGTAAAATTATTACAAATAATGAGCTACATAATTATAAAGAAAAATGGCCGAAATGATCATAAAAAAATTAATGAGGCCTCACTTTCTATTATGTCACTTCCCTCCATGAAAGCTATTTCACTTCTGAGCCTTTGGCATACTCACATAAGTTCAATGACGTAGAATGTGGTGATATGAAAGCATCCTAAATTAATAAATCTGCAACAAACTTAATTACTGGATTAATAGTTAGGGAAACAGAACAAAGCAATGACACCTGAAAGAAGACATGTAACATATTAATGCAACTCATTTGCATGTATTTTTATAAACAACAATCAATAATTTTCCCCAACACGAAAAAAAGAAATGTAACTTTTATTAGATTTATGAAAGGTCGAATTGCACACACAAAATGATTATTATGCAAAATTTGTATCTTGCAAAATAAACGAGTATCGCGAGTGAATTTTTATATAGCAAATCAAAATTCGACAATTAATAATATTACGAATTATTGTAAAATAGATAAAATGAAAAGATAAAAAAAAGAAAAAAGAATGGAAAACAGACATAAACATATTACAGCAGTATTTTCATTAACAATTATTTCCATGAAAAATGGTGCTGAAAAAGGAAATACA